ATATATATATATATATATATATATATATATATATATATATATATATATATATCTTTAGCAAGGACACAGTATGGGGGGAGTATCACTGTTTCCACAAAAACATTAAGCAGCATAACTGTTTTCAACATTGTTATTATACGTTCCATTGACTACCTTGCTTTAAAGGTATTGATGACTGACATCTGACCATTAACAACTGAAAAAGCAACTGCACTGCATTACTGTATACTAGACTCTTTTAAATTGACGTCTTTGCTCTATTCATATTTGCATTTGACATCCTCCATTGCCTCATTAAGTGGCAGAAGCTCTGAGACTTGCCCCAGTGCTCTTTATTGACAAACAGCATGTGAATTAAGACAGGCATAATGAGCAGTCTGTCATAGGCTCTGCCACAATGACTGTCTATTGGCCTCCTACTTTCTCCATATATCTCTGTGTTGACCTAATTGCAGTGAACTTCTCTTGAGATGATCTCTTATCTTGTGCTGAAATTCTACATTTCACATTTGTTTGTTTTTCTTCTTTGGTGATAGTTGCTTCCATTTAATATAGTCATATTTGTTTAAAGATTCTTCAAAATATCTATTTTTTTCTGTTCCACGGAAAGGAATAACAGCATACAGGTTTAAAATGACACGAGAGTGAGTAAATAATGGCAGAATTTCTTGTATATTTTTGCAACTTTCGAGCCCCCTACAGTTAACAAGTTGGATTTCACTGTCGTCAATATCTGTCGTAATTACACTGGATAGCTGTACCAAAAATCTTGCACCACTCACATTTAATTAACATATTTCAAATCGGCATCGAAATCTGACATGAACTGCCCCATGAATATTGCTTCTTATGTAACAAATAGCACTAAAAAACTGCATTGACAATGGAGGTAATGCTTTATTTTAAGTGTCCTTTTTACACATTACGTGTACTTACTATTATAATGACAATTAATTATGCATTATTACATGCAAGTAAGCCTAAGCCAAACCCTAACCATATAGTAAGTACATGTAGTTAATTAATATTACTCCGTATTTAAATATATTATTACACTGTAACAAGGACAACTTACAATAAAGTGTAACCCTTTTTTCCATTCATAGTAATAAAATGAGCACACCATCTTGGTAGTGTTGGGGAAAGTTACTTTTAAAAGTAATGCATTACAATAATGTGTTACTCCTTAAAAGAGTAACTAATTGCATTACTTATTTACTTTTTATGGACAGTTACTTTACTTTTGTTTTACTTTTTCTCATCTGGGCTGGACTTGCTCGTTTGTTTTCAATATAAAAAGTTCTACTTTTGGGATGAAAGTGAAATGAATAAGCCTTAGGCTGAAGGAATGAAATTAATAATTTTTGTGTTAACATTTAATTATTGCAGGTTTGCATCATATTCTGAATTTGCTTTTCACTGTTTTTATTCATTTTGAGGAATACTGAATCTGTTTTTGTGCAAGTGAGATGAGTAAATAAATTTAGTCTAGAACTACAGTAAGCATCAAGTTTACACAGCGCACACAACATATCTGCACTTACTCCTGATTTCTGTCAGTCAATAAATGGGAAAAAGTAGCTTTTTTTTTATAAAGGAACTTGTAAAATAATGCGTTACTTTTCTAGTTATTACAAGTAATCTGATTACACAACTTGCGTTACTTGTAATCAGTTACCCCCAAAGCAGCGTCTTGATATATATCTAAAGTCTTTGGCTGCGGAAAAGAAACAGAAGTCATTCGCCTCATAAGTCAGAGTACCATCAGAATAATTTTGAATCTGATATTTAAGGGCAAAAAAATAAACATATATACAGTTGCATTAAGTTTATCAGAATACAATTTTTCCTTGTGGTATTTCATTCATTATTTTGATTGTGCTTCTATGAAAATATATTCAGGAGACTTGTGCCTCTAAGCTCTGAGATGGAGAATGAGGTGGAAAGCAAGCACTCCCACACCTGTACTGAGGGAAGATGAGAGGTTATTGCTATGAGACAACACAGTAATGTAGACAAGCTCTTAGTCTAATCAATACAGTGAAATCAGACGCAGCAGTAAAGAACAAAACACAAGATAAATGCAGTTCCACAGAGCAGTTCTACATGATGACTTACAGGAACAAGTATTATTGTGCCTGATTTTGTCCTTTTCAGATGATGAAAGAGGCAGAAATAGGAGAAAGTCAGGGGGTACACTTGCATAAATGACTCTTGTTCTGTTCTCGGTGAATTCATAAAACAGAGCTAAGTGCAGACTGATGCTGCTTTGTGTAAAACATTATTAAATCAAGCACTGATTGTTTTGTTTTTCAAAAACTCAATTTTCTGTCTGCTTCTTTGTCCATTGTATGCTGCGGCCCTTGCACATAAAAGACATAGGCCAAAGAATCACTACCATTAAAGGTAGGGTATGTAATTTTTCAAAAACTCTTTAGAAAACGGATTCGGGCTGGATAGCAAAACAAACTTCAGCAATAAGGGGCGTGTCTACTCGTGATGTGGAGGAGAGAGCTTTCAGTGCATGGGACGGACATTAGCCGAGCCGAGCGACAGAAAGATAGAGATGGTGGATAAAAACAAAAGGGAAAACGTCTGCGGAACGATAAGGCAAGAAGTAGGACCCGTGTAAATATCGGATCAGCTTTCCAGTGCTGGAGAGAACTCAAGGAGCGGAGGCCTGCGATCGGACGCCGAGGTTGCTTTGTTTCTTCTCGATAGGTGAGTAACACCGTGTCTACAACAGCTAAAGTCTGCCTACACTGGACGCGACCAAACGACCGTTGAAAACCATTTGAAATTTGTGTCAGCACGTCATAAATAGAACCCGGCAGCAGTTTTCTGTCGGGGATTTGTTGCGCCATGCCGCTCACGTCCGTAGACACGGTGTAACATTGTTTTGCTTTGTTTCACAGAACTAATCGTTGCCTGGGTTGCGTACGTATGTGTGGGGCGGAGCTATCAAAATAGGGGCAAGACCCTTTTGGGGTAGGGGCTACCAGAAATCGCTTACCGTGCCTTTAAAAAGTTTGCGTTAAATTTATCAAAAGTGACTAAAGTAATTTATAATGTTACAGAAAAAATCTATTTCAAACAAATGCTGTTCTTTTGAAATGTCTGTTCATCAAACAATCCAAAGGATCATGTGACACTGCAGACTGGAATAATGATCCTGAAAATTCAGCTTTGCAACACAGAAATTAATTAAGTTTTAAAGCATATTAAAATAGAAAACGGTTATATTAAATTGTAATATTATTTCACAATTTTACTGTATTTTTGCATTAAGAAGAGTCAGTAGGAGTGAATTATTGTACCATCATATTATAAATGAGGTCTCAAGTTCCTCAATGCAAAAAAAGCATCTGAATTCAATGTTGGTCTTATGGCTAACTGGTCAGGAAGGGACAAATATGGCTAAACTATTCGGGTGAACGTTTGCGTAATACTTATTCTGAATGTCTGGCTTTTGCGGAGAAATTCCAATAGACGTGATGATTAAAATAAAGCTGCTCTTTGCCCGCTATTTGAGGACGCTTTCATTACACAGCAGAAGGTTTCCTTACCCAGTTCTGCATTTATCTTCTCAAACTGCCTCCTGCTTAATCAAAAACAGTAGGTTCCAAGGAATGATTAATTGGAGGGGAAAACAATCAAAGGGAATGCCAGCTCACAGTAAAAAGAAATTAATAAGGTGAAATGAAGATGCTTGCTGGATGAGATTCATGCTTTGACAGGTGAAGCCGGATGATGCAGAACATACAGAGCAACCAGAAGTTCACATCTGGAGTTTCAGCCACACGGTAATAGCATAAAATATATACAGATAGAGCCATCCAACGTATCTATCACAGATAGGTCTATCCATCCATTCCTTCATCCAATGTTCGGTTTCTCAATATATATGCAGATAGAGCTTCCATCATTCTACACTCTTAAAAATAAAGGTGCTTCAAAAGGTTCTAGCGATGCCATAGAAGAACCATTTT